CTGTCAGCCAGGGTGGAGAGCACTGACGGTGAGGATTGGTTCTCTGATGGCAGTGAGACATCAGCCACCTCGAACAGTGCAGTCTACCCTGCCAAAATGATCAGAACGTACCTGAGGAAAACAAAAGGCCTGAGAAAAGTAAAACTTGAGAAGATTTTTCCAGACAAAAAACAGTTTTGTGAATCAGCCAGACTCCACGTGAGAGCTGGAGAAATTGGTACTCCAGAAAAGTATAGATTACAGAAAAAACTGATCAAAGTTAGCAAAACATTGAAATGAACATGATGAATACAAACATCTGTTTTTTATTAACTTATCTGGTCGTTTTTAGTATAGGTTTTAATCTCTCAATTTCCACGGATAGTTTTAGAGTTGGGAGTTTAAACCTTAACGGGGCCAGAGATGCAAAAAAGAGGGTGTTTTTATATGAGACTGCTAAACTCAAGAAGGTTGACGTTTTATTTATTCAAGAGACACACAGTGATGAACATAATAAAACAAACTGGGAGAGAGAATGGGAGGGTAGAATATTTTTAAGCCACGGCACCACAACGAGTGCAGGAGTGGGATTCCTCTTTTCAAAAGCTTTTAACCCACAGTCTGTAGAGGTGGAGCATGTTGTCCAGGGAAGGTGCCTTTTAATAAGAGCCGGCTTTGAGCATTTTAATGTTGTTTTTATCAACATTTATGCTCCTAACAACGGTGCAGAGAGGAAACGCTTTTTAGAACAAGTTAATGATAAATTAAAAGATTTTAATTTGTCAGATTATGTTTTTTTTAGGCAGGGATTTTAATTGTACAGTGAATGAGCTTTTAGACCGCAATCATGCAGAGCCTCATCCAGCTTCCCAGCATGCTCTGCAGCAGCTGGTCCACTGCCATGGCCTGGTGGATGTATGGAGGAGGATGCACACAAGCTCCAGACAGTACACATGGTCCCACTGCAGAGACAACAGGATCTCTGTAGCACGCCTTGACCGATTTTATTGTTTAAACAACACTTTAATGTTGTTAAAACATGTTGCATTTTGCCTGTTGGTTTTACCGATCACTCCTTGGTTTTATGTAGTGTTGTTATCAGAGGTGTTGTACACGGAAGCGCCTACTGGCATTTTAATTCGGTTTTAGCTGTTGATAGAAGTTTTAAAGATGCTCTTAGTTATTTATGGTCTGGTTTCAGAGAGAGGAAGAGCGAGTTTACAAGTTTGAGACAGTGGTGGGACCATGGAAAAATACAAATCAGACAGTTATGTCAGCAGCACACGCTCAATGTCACACGAGACATCATCAGATCTATTAGTGATCTGGAGACTGATATTGTGGAACTGCAACATTTGAGTGAGTCCACAGGAAATCGAGGATATATTGAAATCCTCAAAACCAAAAAGATGGCGTTAGCCAACCTGCTGGACAAAAAGGTACAATGTGCGCTGGTCCGGTCCCGTATCCAGACCATCACTGAGATGGACGCTCCCTCTGGCTTCTTCTTCGTCTTAGAGAGGAAACACGGGCAGAGGAAACAAATCCACTTGCTGTTGTCGGACACGGGGCAGGAGCTCACAGAACCAGGCCAGATCCGGAGCAGAGCTGTGGAGTTCTACTCACAACTGTACACAAGTGAGTACAATGGCAATAAACAGTTGTTTGAGGAGTTCTGTTGTGAACTGCCACAGATCCAGCAGGACATGAAACCACAGCTAGAGTGCCCCCTATCAAGGGAAGAATTGTTTGCCGCCCTCCAGGGCATGCAAGGCGGGAAGGCCCCGGGCATTGACGGCCTCACTGTAGAGTTCTACAAGGCCTTCTGGGACATTTTTGCTCACAATATGCTCCAGGTTTTCAATGAGAGCCTGGCCCATGGTTCTCTCCCAGTCTCCTGCAGAAGAGCTATCATCACCCTTCTGCCAAAGAAAGGAAACCTACAGGAGATCAAGAACTGGCGCCCTGTGTCCCTCCTCTGCACAGACTATAAAATTCTCTCCAAAGCCCTCGCTAACCTCCTGAGAGAAGCCATGGAGCAGGTCATCCACCCGGACCAGACGTACTGCGTGCCCGGCAGGTCCATGGTAGACAATGTCTACCTCATTCGGGATGTTTTGGAGGTCTCCAGCTCATTGGGTGTAAGTACAGGCTTGGTCGGATTAGATCATGAAAATGCATTTGACTGCTTTGAACACAGCTTCCTCTGGGAAACCATGGAGAAGTTTGGGTTCAGCGCTGGTTTCATTGCCAAGATCAAGGTGCTGTACAGTGACATTGAGAGTGTGCTGAAGGTCAATGGTAGCTTGTGTGCTCCTTTTGGGGTGCATAGAGGTGTCCGACAGGGCTGTGCTCTGTCGGGGATGGTCTATGCACTCTCCCTGGAGCCCCTCCTCCAGAAACTAAGAGGAAATCTTCAAGGTCTGTTTTTACCCGGTTTTAATAAGAATTTGGTTTTGTCTGCCTACGCTGATGATGTTGTTGTTTCTGTAAAAAATCAAAAAGATGTGACCACACTAGAGACCCTCACAAAAAAGTTCTCTGCGGTCTCGGCAGCGAGGGTGAACTGGGGGAAAAGTGAAGGCCTCGCTGTTGGAAAGTGGCGTGAAGGCCTCCCAGTTCTCCCTCAAAATTTAGTATGGAAGAGAGATGGTCTCAGATATCTCGGCATTTATGTGGGCAATGAAAAAACAGAAAAAAAAAACTGGGAAGACATAACGGAAAAAATAGATTGATTTTAAATAACCTTGTCGCTTCACTGCTGTGGCACCGACTGGCCTGCTTGGACCCACCCTCAGGCCTGTTGGCTCAAATACAAGTCAAGATGGTGAAATTCTTCTGGGACCAGCAGCATTGGGTGCCACAGTCAGTGTTGTTTTTATCCAGAGAGGAGGGGGGCAGGGCCTTGTCCACCTGGCCAGCAGAACAGCCACCTTTAAAATACAATCTGTCCAGAGGTACTTAACAGGACCTCCAGGCTTAGTGTGCAGGGACGTGACCAGCTGTATTTTCAGACGCGTTAACAGCCTGGGACAGGATGCTGCTCTGTTTTTAACCTATTTTAGATTTTTAAGGTTAAATGGGTTACCTAAATTTTATCAGGGTGTTTTTAAATCCTGTTTGCTTTTTAACTGGGAAAGATCCCACAGGTTCAACTCTCTGCACTGGTTGTTAGAAGAGCCGCTAACAAATGGAGCCAGACTGGATGTGTGCAGCGACACCACGCCTGGGCTGAGGGGGGCACTGTGCCAAAAAAACCTGATAACCCTGAAACAGCTGATAGTTTCAGTGGGGCCAGCACTCGCCGACGCCCAGGCCGTGGCCTCAGCTCTGGAAGTACGCTCCATCCGGCTGGCGCAGAGGATCCTAGAGCTGTGGAGGCAAAAGCTCTCTGCCAAAGAGAAGAGCCTCCTACAGCGGTACAGTGAAGGCAGAGTGGAACTCGACCCCACGGATGACTTCCCTGAAATCCACCTGACCCCTGACCTCACCGAGCTGAGTGGCCCCCTCCTAACAAACTGTACCAGCAACAAGGTCAGTCTGAACAACATGGACAGAAAAAACACTATATATGAACTTTGTGAAGATAATCCACAGGAAAAAACTGTGCAACAGACACCCCACTGTGTGGACAGAGAGACTGGATGGACAGCACCCCCAGTGGACAACGCTCTATAAGCCCCCCATCAGGAAGCGGACCGGTGATCTCCAGTGGAGGATTCTCCATGGGGCCATCGCCACAAACAGTTTTTTATCCGCTTTTAATCACAGTGTTTTAAACAAGTGTCCTTTCTGTGGTCAACCTGAAAACGTCTTCCATGTTTTCACAGCAGACTCACTAGGTTTTTTAGTTTTTTAACGGGTGTTTTTAACCTTTTTAACATTGTGTTCTCTGGCCCTGTTTTTATCTGCGGTGTCAAACAAAATAAAACAGAAAAACAAAAGTGCCAATTGGTAAATTATCTCTTAGCGGAAGCAAAACTGGCAGTATGCTTGACCCGCAGAGACAAAATTCAGACAGGCTCCACACAAGATCCTGTGACTGTGTGGAAGATGGGTGTTAAAGCCCGACTCAGCTTAGAGTTCTGCTTCCACAGGGCCACAGGGAGCCTTGTACATTTTGAAAACATGTGGTGCTATGAGAACATCTTGTGCTGTGTAACGGATGGAGAGAAAATAATATATAACAAGTGCCTTATTTAAACATGATCTATGAATTTGTTTGATTTGCTTTATGTTGTTGGCTGAAAATGTTTTCCCTTGCAAATAGTTGTTAATAAATGAGTTTTTAAAAATCCAAAAATCTTCTTCGTCTTCTTCTTCTGCTGCTGCTGCTGCTTCTTCTTCTTCTTCTTCTTCTTCTTCTTCTGCTGTTGCTTCTTCTTCTTCTTCTTGGGTGTTAAAGTGTTGCAGAGCATCGACACGAGAGTCTCTTCATCTTATCTTCTTTTATTTTGTTGTTTGTTGTGTTTGTCTGCTTTTTATAGAAAAGAGATAATCAATCAATCAATATCAGAAACTAATGAAACCAAACAGACAGAACGAGCTGCACATATGTATCAATAATTATTTATTAAACAAGGATTGATGGATTAAATAACGACTGTGCTGTAGAGAGGATTCACAGGCTCGAAAATAAAACATCATCATAACATCATTTAAATATTGATAAGGTATATTAGTCAGTGAAATAATCAATAATGTGTAAATGATACCTGATTGTTAGCACTCACAAATATTAAACATATATAAAATATATAAAACTCAAACGTCTCTCTGAAGTGACGAAGACATTTAAACACATTCAGTAACAACAGAAGAAGATGAGACATTAAAGGACAGTTTGTCTTCTTCTTCTCTTCCTTTAATCTGAGGATTAATCTGGTCTTCATCTGCAGCACAGATTATTTTTACTCTTCATTAATCTGACCTCTGACCCTCCTCCTCTTCATCCTCATCTTCCTCCTCCCTCTGCTCTCTGTCTCACTCTGATCTTATTCAAATAACAGACTCGTAACTCACTCGCTCTTTATCTGAGTGTTTATAATGAATGTCTTTATTAATGAGTCAGTCATCACAGACACAAGAAGAGGAACGACGTCCACATGATGTCCCGCACTGTGAGTCTACCGTCTTCTTCTGTGGTGGAGTCAGCACAGTGGATCCTGCTCCTTCTTTTGATTCCTCCATGGTCAAACCTGGTGATGACATCATCACCCTTCACCGTGGCTCTCTGGCACCACAACAACAGAGTCTCAGCCAACAACGTCTGCCAACGCTCAGAGATGGCTGATGGAGGACTGACGGTCGGCTGCAGTGGACTGAGACTGACACAGGTCTGTGTGTGTGTGTGTGTGTGTGTGTGTGTGTGTGTCTGGTATTCATGATGATGTGGGGACATGGAGCAGCTTGTGCATTGTGGGCACACTCTAACATCTGCCCAGGTGTTTGTGTCCTCAGGTACCTGTCGGCCTCTCTAACCTGACCGTCCGTCTGTTTCTGGATAAAAACCTTCTCAGCTCTCTGCCGGCCGGCTCCTTCTCTGATCTGTCGCTGCTCGATGAGCTCGACCTGTCGCACAACCAGGTTTGCATCACCTTCACTTCTGCTTCAGAGGGCGACGACGGGATGATGAAATGATTTACATCTTGATGCATCAAGGTTTTTTATTTCTGTACATGATTTATTTCCTCTCAGTGTGTGACTACTTATTTTTAAAACAGCAGTTTTTAAATCCCGTCTGCATCAAGGCAGGGAAAATGAAAGTTTCCCAAACATTAGAGATGTAGCTAACGTAGCTAGTGCACCAGCTAAGCTAACGTAGCTAGTGCACCAGCTACGTTAGCTGTGGCTGATCGCTGACAGACAGAAACAAACTTCTACAGTCCATCGTCTGTTTGATAATCTGAGCACTGATTCTTGTGGTGTCCTTTCTAAAATGATCAGAGGTGAAAGTTTCTATATTCTGTTCTGATCCATGAGTTAATGAACAGACAGTGTTAGCTAGCTAATGCGCTAGCTAGTTAATAAGTCGTCTACTTCCACATTAAATTGTGTTTCTCTCCGGTGTCTGCTGTGCTTCTGCCACCATGATGTGCGCACAACTTTTGTGATGTCCATTCAAAACTGGTCCATATAATACTTAATTGCCATGTCGACACAGCTGACAGGAAGAATTATGTAAACGTAATAATATGTAAAGTAAGAGAAGTAAAACATGGATCATATTTATACATTCAAACAATAAGATCAGGTTCTTCAGTCCTGTTAAAGTGTTCTTCCATCAGAGTTCATGCACTGAATAATATCAATAATATCTGGCGGAAGATTGGAGCTTCACAAACAACATGTTGGTGTTAGTTCCTGTTTCCTGTTTCCTGTCAGCTCTCCTCACTGGAAGCCGGTTGTTTCCGCGGTTTGGCGTCCTCGCTTCGCTTCCTGGACCTGTCATCCAATCAGTTGTCTTCGTTGGAGCTGGCGGCGCTCAGCGGGCTGCGAGCTCTCACCAACCTCACACGCAACCCGTGGCACTGTGACTGCAGGATGCAGGTGAGATCACCTGTACAGGTGACGTTATTAATCATGTAACAGCAGAAGAAGAATAAAGTCTGACTCTGTTCGTTCATTAGAAGAAAGTGTGTTTGACTGATTCTGTTTGTGTCTCTGTGTTCAGCTGTCAACGCCTCAGCTGGATCTGGACCCGTCATCTCTCTCTGAAGTCATCTGTCAAACCTCCGACCTGCCAAACCGCGGTACGTCCACGCTGCATTCACATCGAATCAGACGTCTAGGCTGCAAAACGAAAGCTGATGTCACACTGGGGTGGGAAAAAATCAATACGGCATAGTATCGCAAAATTGTCGTGTGACAGTATGGTCACGTTTTCTTATTGTATAATTACTAATAATACAAATACAAATTAAATTTAAGGCAGCTTCTAAAATAATATCATCAGTTGATTTTTCAGTCCTACAGATTAATTTTACAGCTGCAAATAAAAATGTCTTAAGTGATGAAAATTTCATTTTATTAGATAAAACACATGTTGACAGTTTCCTCTGAAGACAAAATGTACTGTTTAAAAAAAGATAATAAATCACATTAATACTGTATCATGACTGAAGTACACCATGCCACTGAACACTACAGGAAGTACACCGCCCCTCTGAACACTACAGGAAGTACACCGCCCCACTGAACACTACAGGAAGTACACCGCCCCACTGAACACTACAGGAAGTACACTGCCCCTCTGAGACTTTGGATCACATCGGCGATCAGCTCACGTCCTATTGGCTGTTTAAGTCGTTGCATCAGGCTGCGTCTGACAGTAACGTTACAGGTGGCGTATGGCTCCTCCTCCCTGAGGAGATCAGACGGATGGATTCATTAAACACAGTGTTTTATAAATGTGCTCTCAGACGTTCTCTTAACTGTTTGATTGATTTAGTCTTGTTGAATGTACCTGACTCGTCCTTGTGTTATCTGAGTGTGAAAGTGTTGTGACGTGATGTTTCAGGAGCTGTTGGGACGCCTCTGCTTCAGCTGCTGGACGACTGGGATCTGTGTCTGTCTGTGAGGAGAAGCACTGATGTGGTGATGTTGGTCACCATGGTCCTCTGGTTCTCCACCCTCATCTCCTACCTGCTCTACTACATCCGACAGAACCAGGAACACGCCCGCCAACACATGGAGTACATCAAGGCTCTGCAGGGACGCCAGCTGTAGAGGAAGATGGAGCGCCAGAGTCCATTTTTGAAAACCAACACCCGCCCATCCTCAAAGCACCAGAACCGACCTGTTACCTGTAAAACTAGTAAAAACCTCACCCATTAATAAAAGTCCTGCGACCCTCCACCCATGATCAAACCCCCCCAGGCTCCAGTCCCTCACATGAAGCTGGTTCTCCGTTCTTGAATTGGACGTCTCTTTGACTGGATGGTGGAAACATTCAATCACTGCCAGGTTAGGAAACATGTTAGCATGCTCCTTCCACCACCATCAAACCTCCAAAGGATCTGAACTCCATGTAGGCTGCCACCTCATCCTCGGGCTGCAAAGTGTCATGGCTGGAGATATTGTGTTGTTTTATGTGTCAGAGAAATTTATCATGTTGTTGTTATATTAAACGTTTGGAAGTTATTGGTGATTTAAAAGTCGAAGGTAAAAGCTGCAGTTTGAGTCAACCTTTAGCTAGCATGCTAACACCATGTGGCAGCAGAACATGGCAGTGAGCAACTAGGTGAGAAATGTTCCACAAATTTTTAAAAGTAATAGATTAAAAAACTAAGGAAAAACCAATTTATAATTATTATATTTACATTTTAAAATTATGTCACAGAATATTTTTTTTTATAAAAGCACTTTTTCCAGGTAATTTTCTTTGTTTTAACTTTTTTAAATTAATTATCTTGTTTTAAATTTTCTCTTTAATTTCTTGCAACTTTTTGAGGGAACGTTTCCTCTGTTTGTTGCTCGCTGCCTCCCTCCTGTGTTTGTTAAGAATTTGGGGACCTGTGGAGTCTCCTCTCGTCTTACTGGCTCACAGACCTGACGTGAGTTTATTTAATGAGAGCAGTTACTTTAATGTGTCGATCATCTCTCTGTTTTCATCTTGTTTAATTTCACATATTTGTTTTATTCATATTTGGTCGTGTGTGTGTTGTTTGTTTCCTGACTGTGTTTCAGTTGGTTTATACATTATATACACCAAACATAACGATACAAAACAAAGAGAAAAAGATGAATAAATAAAAACATGAAGTGCTAAAAATTAAACAAAAACACAAATCATCATGATCCAGTGTCTGTTCTGTCTTCTTTATTATTATTTCAAAGCTTTACAGACACAGGTATGAATTAATGTGCAAACGTGTTCAGTGTGTAACGAGGCCTCTGGATCTCTGAGCTCCTTCTCTGTGTGCACAACACGAGACATTAATCTGTGCAGCAGCACTTATTTTCCTGTTTATAACGTTTATTTGTCCAAAATAAACTTGCGTGATGACGGTGGACGAACAAATGAAATCATGTCCGAATCACAAACAAATAATTTCAACACGTCTTTAACTCAGTAAAATAACTTTATCAGTAATATTTGTTTCAGAGACAACCAGCTCTTTTCCCACCCTAAGTCTCTTCTGACAGAGGACCAGAGGAAGCAGCTGCAGATGACCTCCTGTGAAATGGTGGCGCCCTCCAGTGGCGGTTATGACGTCACTGCAGTCAAGTCAGTTTTATTTGTGTGGCACGTTTCATGCACAGATACACACAATGTGCTTTTACAGTAAAACACAGAAAACATGAGATAAGAAGACTTGTGCTTCACACACACACACACACACACACACACACTGATGTTACAGCTGCAGCAGATCTCAGTTTCACCTGATTTAGTTTGAATCCTCGGCACATCCAGGAGACACATGTTCGATGACGAGGCATGAGGTTGGTCTGCAGCAGGTCAGACAGATATTTAGGAGCTGTGTAAACAAGTATTAATATTCTGTGATCAGTTCTGGACTGTGCCGACAGCCACTGGAGTGTTTTCACTACAGGTGTAATGTGTTGTTCCAAGTTAGCACTGACACTGTGGCCCCTGGACTACCTGTCGTCATTACAGTAATCCAACCTGCTGGAGATGAGCCAGGGACCAAGTCTCCAGAGTCACATCAAGACAGGAAACTCCTGAGTTTGGAAGTGTTCTTTAAATGGTAGGTGACCGTCAATGACCGTCACCAAGAGAAGCTTTTCTACCAGCTTCACATCATAGTTCAGAAAGCTCAACATCCAATGAGAATTTATATTCTTACAGTTCTAGCTGTGATAAATTGGGTCATTTTGGCAATTTCATGTTGTCTTTATGAAGCAGAGTAGCGACCGCTCCGGCTCAGTCTTGGTAAGGTGCTGAAAACATCAGTGATGCTCTGATGAAGGTCGAATAGACAGAAAGCTCAACAATAAAGTGAAATACTGCGTTTGTTGAAGGTGGCAGTGAGTGTGAGTTTATTTATCTCCTTTAACTTTAGCTTATATTGTAGTTATGCTATGTAGCGTGTGAAATAGAGTATGGTGAATGTGCTAAGAAAGGTAGTATCAGCACTGTCTCTGCCTGGAGCTCGCATGTACGGAGCCTGGGTTTGTTGAAGGTGGCAGTGCTGTTTGGGCTGAGAAAGCCATGTGTAAGTAAGGTAAAGGAGGTTGTTGGGTTGGTGTGGGGAGCAGTGAGACCTGGCATTAGGGGAGTGTCTCTGGGACGCCAGAGATCACTGTCTAGCCTCCTGGAGGTGTCGTGGGACCAACTAGAC